CTCTGTTTACCGCTGTCCAGAAGTGGTGCCTCCTGTGCCCCGTCCTGCAGTGCTTTCCTAGGCAGCGTCCCTCAGAGGCCTCTGCGTCACTCCAGTGTCCAGTTTCTTGGTTGCCGGGAGTCTTCTGTCATGCAGGGCGCACTGCGGCCTGCACGCTGCCCACTGAAGGACGTGCCATCTGTGCTGCCCTGTGCCAGTGCGTCTGTGGGAGAGCCTGGGCTGCAGCTGCGGCCCCTCCGTCTTGCCGGTGTTGCTGTGGTGCCCCCGGGCATCCTAGTGTTCTCCCTGTTCTGCGTGGAGGGCCCGCATGGGTCTCAGTGTTCCCACAGACGGCTCCCATCCTCACTGCACCTCTTTCTCCGCATGGCCGGGCGTCCCACTCTGTGTGCGTCTGTCTGGGGAGAGTCCACAGCTTCCTGTGTAAGTCATTTCTGCTGTTGTCTTAACAGCGTCACAGATAAAATTCACATACTGTGGATTCACCTTTTGAATGGGTACAATGGAGTGGTTTTTGGTGTATTTAGGGTTGTGCTACCTAAAATCACTGCTGCCTAATTCCAGAATGTGTTCATTACCCTAAGAAGAAACTGTACCCATTAGCAGTCATTCCTCACCCACTTCCCCCAAACCTCTGGCTACTAATCTCCTTGCTGTCTGTATGGAGTTGCCTCTTTCGGACATTTATGTTAGTGAAATTACACATGATGTGGCCTTTTGTTATGACTTCTGTCACCCACTGTAATGTTTTCAAGGTCCATTCATGTTGTAACATGCATCAGTACTTGATCCTATTTATGGCCGAATAGTATTCCACTTTTTGGATGTACCACATTTTGGATTATCCATTCATCAGTTAGTGGACATTTGGGGGGTTTCCACTTTCTGGTTATTACAAATAATGCTGCTTTGAACTTTCATGTACAAGTTTTTATATATATATATATATATATATATTTTAATCCTCACCCGAGGACATTTTTCCATTTTTTGTTCAGGTAGAGTGGGAGGGAGAGAGAGGAACAGAGAGAGAGAGAGAGAGAGAAACATCGATGTGAAAGGAACACATAGAGTGGCTGCCACCTGCACAACCGACCAGGGCTGGGGACAAACTGCAACCGAGGTACGCGCCCTTAGCGGGAACCGAACCCGAGTCTCTCAGGACCACAGGCCGACGCTCTAACCGCTGAGCCAAACCGGCCAGGGCCAAGTTTTTATATTTTTTAAAAACCTTAAAAAAATTTTTTTTCTTTATTGATTTTAGAGAGAAAGGAAGGGAGAGGGAGAGAGAGCTAGAAACATGGATGAAAGAGAACATCGATTGGCTGCCTCCTGCATGCCCCCCACTGCGGATCTGGCCCACAACCTGGGCATGTGCCCTGACCGGGAATTGAGCCAGCGACCTCTTGGTGCAGGGTCGATGCTCAACCACTGAGCCACACCAGCCAGACTAAAATCATTTTTAATATTTAAAGAGCACTTACAAATCATTGAGAAAAATGCGAGTTAAGCCAACAGTCAGGTGGACGGAATGCTGAGTGCACAGCTCACAAAAGGGTGGCAGGTTTGTCTGAAAGGACATGCTCTCCAAAGGCTGCTGTTCTGCTGACGTGTGGAAGCATCTGGATTGGTTGACAGAAGAGAACTCTGGATTGGTTAGAGCCAGTTAAAGAATGATATTCAAGGACTAACAGTGTAGCGGTTGTTTTCTGTGGCTCTTGCCTCTTGACTGTAAGTTTTTTTTTTTTTTAATCCTCACCCAAGGACATTTTTCCATTTTTTGTTCAGGTAGAGTGGGAGGGAGAGAGAGGAAGAGAGAGAGAGAAACATCGACGTGAAAGGGACACATCAAGTGGCTGCCACCCGCACGACCCAACCAGGGCCGGGGACAAACTGCAACCGAGGTACATGCCCTTAGCGGGAACCGAACCCGGTCTCTCTGGACCACAGGCTGACGCTCTCACTGCTGAGCCAAACCGGCCAGGGCTTGACGGTGAGTTTTAAAGGGAAATCTCTCTATGCCTTTTTATAACTTCCAAGTGTGTATACAGTGTGGCCACCTACATGTGAGTGTTCAGTCTGGATATCATAATTTTTTTGCTGAGGAACTACAGAATAACTAAACACTATATATCCAGGTAGTTGAAGATAGTCTGCTGAGAGTCGAGTTGGAACTCTGTGTTTGGGATTCTGATGGGTTTCTTTTCTCTCCGCTCTCTTCAACCTTTGTATTTAGTGATAGTTTAAGTATTTATTTTCACAACTATTACACAGGACTATTACACTTCTTCCCGTGGAAGAAGGGAGTGTTTGGCCTGGGAGGTTTTCCTGTTTCAGGCTTAGGCGTGCGTTTTGACACCTTTAAGCTTCAATGCTGCCTAGTGCACAGGTGCCCTCGCTGTCGATAGAAATGCCCTCTGTGTTAGGAGCTCACTAAGTGGTGCGCCATCTGCAAGCCTCCTGCTTCTGTAGATTAATCAGTTGTTCAAGTAAGGTTGCCTTTTGTCTAACTTGCAGTATAGCCGCCTCCACCAGGGAACCGTCTCCTGTATGTCCCGTGCAGTGTGCGGGAATAGTGTGAGTGGTGGGAGCTCCGAACCAGGGAGGTCAGGAAGAGGGGCTGCAGGTGGAACAGAGTGCGCGGTCTGGAGAGGTTTGCCCTCCAGGCGCAGCCCCCGTCCCGGCCGTGCCCGCACATGTGCGAGCCTGGCGCTGGGGACGGTCACTCCACAGGGGAGTTTTATAGGTGATGGTTACATAAGTCAACGTTCTTGAAACGTTTCTGTTAGAAAGATAAAAATGGAAAAAAAACACCCTTTTCTGATACCTCGTGATTTTTTTTTTCCTCTGGATTCTGATTGATGGTTGTTGATGGTGTTTGGTGCTACAATCACTTGGTTGGCTTTGGTGTAGCTGTGTTTCTAGGAAACGTATGGGGGTGAGAACTGCCTTGTTATTTTAATTTTTTTTTTTAATTCTCGCCCGAGAATATTTTTTCATTGATTTTTAGATGGAGTGGAAGGGAGGGAGGGGGAGAGAGAGACAGAGACAGACAGAAAGACAGAAACATCAATCGGATGCTTCCTACATGACCCCGACTGGGGCGGGAAATCTAACCTGCAACCAAAGTGCATGTCCTTGACCAGGAATCCAACCCGAGACTCCTCTGTCCTCGGGCTGATGCTCTAACTGCTGAGCAAACCAGCCAGGGTGTGTTATTTTAAAAATCCATATTAAATTGTGTAACTTTATTTACTGGCCTCATTAAGAGTTATTGAACACTGTTTATTTTAAGTCATTGCCTGTAGAAGTCAGTGATTCAGCGTTGTATGTACTGATGGTAATCAACTTAATATTATTTGGTGCTTTTTATGGACTTACTTTTGCCACCTCCTCCTCCCCTCAAATAAATCAGACTAATGCCGTAACAAATACCTTTCACAACTAAGCTCAGAAACACCACAGAACAGATCTCGCTAAGTTCTGCTGTGGTAGATACTGTGGGCAGTGAAGGAAAAGAGATATTGCATGGTTGTGTCAAAGTCTAGGCGGAGAGAGTTAACATTCATGAGCAGTGCAGACCATTAGCGTGTGGAGGGTCGTCCAGGTCGCCCGGACACGAGGGATGCAGAGAACATCAGAGCAGCCGCGTCCGGCAGGACTGGGCGAGTGGAGCGGCAGCACGGGCCTGCCGCGAGCCGTGTGGTGGCGGGAGGAGCCCGGTGTCGAGGGGCTCACGGAGCAGCCTTTATGCCAAGAGGCATGAGAGGGGGGTCAGGACGAAGGCTCCGTCCGGGGCGGTCACGGTGGGGAAGGCTGACGCCGAGGTGGAGGTGGTGTGAGACGTGCTCTCCTCTCCAGCACAGGGCAGCCAGGGGTGGTTTCCTGGGGAGCTCTCTGCCCGTGGGCGGGGAGATTCCCGCGACTGAGGTGGCTGGTTGGGAGGCTGCTGCAGAAGCTCAGGGCTGGCCATATGCTGTGGGGGGGAGGGGCAGCACAGGGATGGGGAGCACTGCACCCCAGGACATGCTGGGTGAGTGAGGAGCGGGCAGAGGGCGTCAGTACAGAGAGCGACAGAAAGTCGGTTAATGCTTCTCCCTTTGCACCCGTGAGGTTCACGTCACCCACAGAAGATGGAGGGGAAATCTAGGGAGCGGGTGTGAGTGTGTTTCCCGCGACGGATCTGAGGTGCTGGTGGCTCCACAGCCAGTGGCCTCACAAGTGGTCAGCTGACTCAGCCTGGGGTGCAGCCTGAAGGGGTGTGACATCCACCTTTCATCAGGCAGTCTCTGAGACAGTTTCTTTCTTTTTTATTGTTGAGAGTGTTACAGATGTCCCCCATTTTTTCCCATTGACCCCCTCCTTCCTGCTCCCACACCCCTCCTGCCTCCCCCAGCCTTATGTCTGGGTCAGTTGGTTGTGCATATATGCGTATAAGTTCTTTGGTTTATCTCTTCCCTCCCCTCCCACCTTTCTCCCTCTGAGGTTTGTCAGTCTGTTCCCTGCTTCCATGACTCTGGATCAGTTTTGGCCGACAGCTTAGTTTGTTCATTATGTTCCATATATAAGTGAGATCATGTGATACTTGTCTTTCTCTGACTGTTACGCTCCGCATAATACTCTCCAGGTCCCTCCATGTCGTCTCTAAGGTGACATGCTTTTTTTTTCTTTATTGATTTTAGAGAGAGAGAAAGGGAGAGGGAGAAACATCGATGAGTGAGAACATCGACTGGCTGCTTCCTGCACGCCCCCCACTGGGGATTTGGCCCACAACCTGGGCATGTGCCCTGACCGGGAATCGAACTGGTGACCTCTTAGTGCATGGGTCGATGCTCCGCCACTGAGCCACACTGGCCGGGCCTGAGTAACATTTTAAAAAATCTATTTTGAAACAACCAATAACAAGTTTTGAACAGCTGTTTAAAAGTAATTGTAAACACCAGTATATCCTGATCCAGTTGGGTTCTGGAATTGGGTCTTCTGACTCCTGTCACTCTGGCCAGATTGCGGTGCTGAGGAGACAGCAGCGGATGATCAAGAACCGGGAGTCGGCCTGCCAGTCCCGCAAGAAGAAGAAGGAGTACATGCTGGGGCTGGAGGCCCGGCTCAAGGCAGCCCTGTCTGAGAACGAGAAGCTGAGGAGGGAGAACGGGTCACTGAAGCGGCAGCTGGACCAAGTCGTGTCAGAGGTGAGAGCTGGTGGAGAGCCGGGCACTGGGGTCAAGGGCCCTTTCTTTCTGAAAAGTCAGGAGGGAATGTCACGTATCAGGCTACGTCGTGTAGAGCGATAGCGTTAGGAAAGGGGCACGGTGGGCCCTGGACCGTCTGCAGGAAGGACGGCTCCGGAGGAGGGCGTCTGAGCGTCCTCAGTCTGTTCACAGTGCTCCTTGCCCTGCTTCTCGGGCGCAGGCACCACCAGGGCTTCGTGTCCTCCGGGCCGCCTGCTGCTCTGGTGCTTCGTGTTGCCGTCGGGTCCAGCAGGTGAACCGGCTCTGTCTGTGCAGCCTGGTATCTCAGGGCCCTGAAGGGCTGTCCTGAGCCAGGGGTGGCCTCTGCCTCTGCCGGCTTCTCCCTTGTTCCATCTGCCCTGTGCCTGTGGGAGCAGCCCTGTGTTACTGAGAACAGTGTTGAAGGGACAGGCACGGACGCGGGAGCATCTCGGGAGAAGGCAGCTTGCTGAGCCCATGGGAGGGAGCTGGGAGGCTCTGCCCTCGCCTTGGACAAGGACCATTTGCTCACCATTCACACAACTGATGAGGAAGAGCATTCCTAGCTGTTGCTTCTTGTGAGCTTGACGTGCAGTTTAATTGCATTTCATGTGTCCTCTCCGTAGAACCAGAGGCTTAAAGTCCCTAGTCCAAAGCGAAGAGCCATCTGTGTGATGGTGCTGTTGGCGCTCGTCATCCTGAACTACGGACCCATCAGGTGAGGGTGCAGACTCTTCTGATATCAGTGCTGAACATTTACATTCCTGTTATTTATTTTTTTTTAGCTCTAGTCATAAGCTAGAGAAAAACAGATTTGTTCTGTTCTGAGAGACGAGGGAGATTTGGACAGGTTGCTTCCCCTTCTGTTCTCTACCTCAGTCTGAAGAAAGTTCATGTTTTTTAGTAAAGGAAACTTAAGTTACCAAACAGATCACTGGCGATGTAGAAAAATCAACGAAGGTAGAAGGCCTTGAAGTCAGACTGTGTGCGTCAGCCCTGCTCGTCCTCTGCTTCGTGGCTTTGTCCCAGGCCAGTGCTCAAGGTCTCCATGCCTCAGTCCTCACCCTGCAGACGGCTGTTGTAACAATGAGCCACCTACCTCGGTGCTCTGGTGCCGGAGCATCAGGGAGGTCACGGCGCTTGGCTGGCTCCCTCCTGCTGGAAAGTCAGCGGCTAGACCAGCAATTCCATTTCTGGTTTCGTGGGTTGGGAAAGGGGATTGAGAATCTGGGCTCTGTGACATCCGGGTGGCGGGGGTGCAGGTCGGCAGCTCAGCACAGTGTGGGGGCACTGCTTTCAGGTCGGCACCGGGGACGGCAGCTCAGAGGGTCCCAGAGGTCTCTGCTCAGACCCGCAGTTGCAGTGCACAGTCACCACAGGCACAGCCAGCACCCTGGACGATGGGGTCAAAGAGAGTCAGGCAGGGGCAAGCCTTCCGAGGCCCGTGCCGCCCTGGTGGGAGAGACGCGGGCAGGTGCGTGTAGCCTGGTGTGACGACAGTGGCCGAGTCAGCAGGGAGAGGGGCGAGCGTGTGTGTGGCCCTGGGGAGGTCTGCAGGGGACTGGGAGGTGCTCGGACACTTTGGGCTGAAGGGCAGTGATGAGGGACATCCCATGAGGAAGCTGAATCTTGAAGCGTGGTAGCAGTTTGCTAGTGCAGAGTGTGGGAAAGGCACCGTGACAAAGTGTCCTGACACTTCCAGAGAAAGTGACAAGTTCGCTGTCTTGTGCACGTGGGCGTGCGCATGAGGAAACTGACTGGAGGTGCAGGTGGGACCAGGTAACGAGGGGCCTCGGACGCGCCGTGTGCTGGTGGAGGCTGACACAGCAGCATCTGTGCGGGAGGAGCATGTGGATGCGTCCAGACAGGGCTGGGCTGAGCAGAAAGCCGTCTGTCCCCACTGCTGGAGGACTCACTCCCGAGGCTCTGCTGTGTCCTGGGCCACCCCTCCCATGTGGCTTGCTCTGCCTTCCTCCCTCCACAGCCCACTTGCCTTCTCACCTCGGCTGCCTGAGGACTCACTCCCTCGTTTGCAGACTCACAGCAGGTACCTGCAGAGCGACACTGTCTGCCAGTGCTGAGCAGGGAGCCGGGATGCAGACAGGCAGACACAGCAGGGGTGCACGGAGGAGTTAAAGGGGTCATGTCAGATACGGGCATGTTCGTGAAGGAACCTGGACGTGACCAGTGATTCTGACAGTGGCCCTCACAGCGGCTCGATCGACAGCCTCCGACGAGCAAGTGCAGACGACGGACGGAGCTGCAGGGGTGTCTGGAGCCCTCCCGAGCCAGTGGGCACTTGGGAGGAAAGGCAGGAACAGAAACCGTCAGTGAATGAAGATCCTCCCAGCTTCAGAGGGGCGGGCTGGGGAGTAGGTAGCCTGGTCCCTCGTGGAAGGAGGAGGTGCTTGTTCCACTGTGTTAAAGGGGTTTGTGTTGGAAACAGACAGCACCACAGCGGAGCCGAGAGTGGGAAAGTGTAAATACGGACATCCTGAGGAACAGCCAGAGGTCACGGAGGCTTTAGGAACCGGAAGCCAAGGTGCAGCGGGAATACGGGGAACTGCTCACATCTGAGAAGCGCGTAGAAAAGCTTAGATTGAAGAAAGCACCAGCGAGAAGAGCCGGAAGGGATGACGAAGTCCCAGCATCTCTACAGGCTGGACTCTGCAGGTACCGAGAGGAAGCAGGAGGGAAGCCAGTCCCGAACCCCCTCCAGGGCTGTTTCTTCCAGAGAAGACTCGGAGGAGCAGTAACGTAGTGGAGCCTTGATTCTAGACACTGAAACCTGCCCCCAAGCCCAGAGTCGGGAGTGGGCTTGTCCCTCCACGCCCGCTGTTCAGAAGCGTCTCTTGATTGACCCATCGCTGGCAGCCCTCCTCACTGCAGGGGTGAGCGTCTTCTGAGGGCCAAGAGTCGGCCAGGGGTCCCCGCTGAACTGGTTTGTGCCACTTGGGATACTTACTGAACGTCTTCCACATCTGTGGCCTTGTGTAGGCAAATGTTACGATGTTTAATTGGTGCAGAAATGTAGGCTTTTAAGAAACAGGCTGTGAGTGCTCACTGAACTTTCCTCGGGTACCACAGAGTGAAGTCTGGCCAGGCAGAGAATTTTAGTCAGGTTTCCAAAACATGTTATGTGCAGGAAGGAGCCTAACCTCAGAACAGACTGCATCACCATACAGAGCTGTCAGTGTTGTTTCTGACATGCAGTGCAGTCGGACTTGTGTGCTTTCCTGGTGTGTGTCCAAGTGAGGAGATACATAACCTGCAGGTTTGGCGGACATGGGTGTGCCTCAGGGGGCATTTCCTGAAGGCACTCGGTGCTGAAAGGTGGATGCATCCCACGTAGAAAGGAAGCGAGTGCTGTGTGCAGAGCTGACTGGTGTGGAGTTCAGGTCACTGCAGAGTCATCACTCAGAAAGAAAGCAAAGTGACCAGACTTAAGAGGGCTGGTTTTTCCTAACCTGTTGCTGGGTGGATGGTGAAGAATGCCTCTTAGCTATTTTTGGCACAGGATACAAGGATCAGGCCCAGTCCTGGTGGCCTGAAAAACAGTGACTCAAGTTTGAATAACACTCAGCTTGTTGGGGTGGAGTGTGTGATTCATAATCATGTTTTATCTTTGAAGGAACTAAAAGTTAATCCAGGTCTCTCTTTTTTTGTTTTTAATCCTCACCTGAGGATATTTTTTCCATTGATTTTTAGGGGGTGGAAGGGAGGGAGGGAGGGAGGGGGAGAGAGACATATTGATTGATTGGGGCTGGGGATCGAACCTGCAACTCAGGTTCGTGCCCTTGACTGGGAATCAAACTGGAGACCTTTTGGCGGGCAGGCTGACGCTCTAACCACTGAAACACACCAGCCAGGGCATAACCCCGGTCTCTTTTTTAAAGATGTATCTCTGGCCCTGGCCGGTTTGGCTCAGCGGTTAGAGCGTCCGCCTGCGGTCCGGAGAGACCCGGGTTCGGTTCCCGCTAAGGGCACGTACCTCGGTTGCAGTTTGTCCCCGGCCCTGGTTGGTCGTGCGGGTGGCAGCCACTCGATGTGTCCCTTTCACATCGATGTTTCCCCCTCTCTCTCTTCCTCTCTCTCCCTCCTACTCTGTCTGTACAAAAAAAATGGAAAAATGTCCTCGGATGAGGATTAAAAAAAAAAGATGTATCTCTGTTGTTGAAAGCATCGTAGATGTCCCCCACCCCCGAAACCCTCTTTCTCGCTGTGCCGTCTCTGGGCACGTGGACCTTTGGGACCTTTGGAAACCCTGTGAAATGGTTATTTCCTATTTTACAGTGAGAGGCTCGAGGGCTCAGAGCCACACCTGGAACCAGGTGTCCTGACTCTGGGCACCGTGCTCGTCCCTCTGTGTTGAGCCAGGCCAGCCTCCTGTGCGCTCAGAGGCAACGTGTGGCGCTCAGATCGGCAGCCGCCGCACATGGGCTTCTGTGGGGGATGAGAACCAGTGTGAGTCTTGCCTGCTGAGGTGGTTGACTTTAAAATTTCCTTGGTTGAACCCTAAGAAAGCAGGTTTTCAAAGGGTGGAATAGATTAGGAGACATGCCATTTTTTGCTCAGCTACTTGGTATGAAAATAGGGTATCTGAAATCATATTTTAAGGATTAAGTGGCTTCGTGCACAATCTGAAACAGTTGTTGGCTTTCGGGATTTCATACATGGAAAGTAAAGCAACACTTCTCACAGCACTGTCCCAGACCTTCGGGGAGATCGAGAGGCCTGTCACGGCTCTGTGCTCCAGGCCTGCTGGCTCACGGCACGAGCGGGCTCACTGGCGTCAGGGTGGTTTTGTGCTTATGACTTGTGACTCTGTGGGAGCAGAGAGGAGCCTGTTTCTGATCCCAGAGACATAGGGACTTCTGTTTTCTTCATAGTTATTTGTTTATTTTGAAATGCTAAACAGACCCGGACTTAAGTTAGTCATGAAAGAGTTTGATTGGATTGCTTTGTTCGTATTTTCACTGGGATGTGCGCTAGTTCCCTGACCCCCACGGTGACCGAGTCATCTCTGCATCACTGGACATGTAATTCTCCCAAAACTGGCGAAAAGGGACGTCAGATGAAGCAAAAACACTCGTGACAAGAATCTAAACATTCCCATCAACACTGACTTTCTCATCTTCTGTCTGTGTGTCCGTTACAAGGACGGTCGAATCCCTCTTGGTGTTTGTGGTGTCACAGTTGTCCTGACGACCTTGAACTTGGGCAGGGAGAGCCCCAGCTGCAGTTCCTCAGATGGTCAGTTTGTCCGTCTGGCCATGTCCCAGGTTCAAGCTGTCACAGCTTCTTTGAGCTTGTCTGTAACTTAGCTTAAAAGAAACTCCATATTAATACTTAAAAAGTGCACGTAATGGAGGACAAAAGCATCTTAAGAACAAGTGGAAAACTTTAAAAGGTTCTTTGTAAAACTTCTTACTATATAACCTTTCAAAGCTCCATCCTGGGCCATTGGATAGCTAATGAAATTGAGACTCGGGCTGTTTGGATCCTGGTTTTTGCCTGTCACTGACCCACTTTCTTGTTTATGACCCTTTGTTGACTCCACAAGGACAGTGTCATGAAGACCTGGTGAAGCCCACTGGGTGAGCGCTGAGCCTTTGGCCAGAAAGAGTGATGTCACTGCGGTGCTGTGGGTGGGGCACGTCAGCGACAGGCTGCGGTAGGGACCACCCCGTGGCCAGCGGGAGTGGTGATCCTGTGGGGCCGTGAACCAGACTGGTCGCCACACTCAAGGCATCTGCCTGTCACTGAGAAGGAAAACGAAACGAGAAGGGAGTTGCCGGTTGTCACAGTGGCTGTAACATCATCCAAAGAAAACCCTCAGTAGAAGGCTCTTAAAAAACCTCCACGTATTAATAATTCTGCATTAATTTAATTAGAAGTCATCCTTATATCATACAAATGGCCACTTTTGATTGTACCTTTCCTCAAGTTTGGAGGCAAACTCCTGTACTCTGAGGACTGTTTCTTTCAGAACCACAGGGCCCTTAGCTGCCCTCTTCGCCAGCCCCATGTCCCTCCTGTCTTCATCCCTCTGAGCTTCCCTGGACCTTGTAACTAGTGTGATTCTGTGCCTGGCAGTGCAGAACAGGAGACTGATGAGCCAGGTTTCTAAGCCCATGACTAGTGGGTTGATGTGTTAGAACAGTTCAATAACTACTGCGGTATTTGATATGTAAGTGTGTGCGTGTGCATGTTTGCATGTACATCTATGTGTATTTGCCCCCAAACACTTAGACCCATCAAGGGAACATACATTGATGAATGAAGGTATTAGGGGGAGAGTGGAGAGAAAGAAGTAAATAGGAAATTTTTGCATGTAAATAAAAGTAGAAGTATTTGATATAGTGATTTTTGTTAGCTGTATTTGCTAGCCTGCCTTCTGGGATTGTGAAAGGCTAATGAACTTGGCTGTTGACAGAGTAATTCCCGTTCCATCCGAAGTGCTTCCTCATTGGAGAACTTTCTATTTCAGTTGTCTGAGTTTAAAACTTGTTTATGTGTATCCTATATTTGTTTCTACTTTTATACATACTAAGAGAGTATTTAAAGGATGTAGAATAGTGACCTTGTTTAAACAGCGTATAGGTAAGGTCCTTTTGTAACATTTGTTTTCAGAACTGTTTTTCGTGCATTCAGGATGCCAGGCCGCGGTCTGACCACATCAGCCGTCTTCCTGCTCCTGTGCCTAGCGTCCTGCTGTGCTTGGCCCTGCGCAGAAGCTCTGGGCGCCACAGAGCTGCGCGCAGCATGTAGGACATGTTTTCATTTCACTTCTTGTTTTGCATTTTTAAATGTTTAGCATGTTGGAACAGGATTCCAGGAGAGTGAATCCTAGCATGAACCCTGCAAATCAAAGGAGGCATCTTCTCGGATTTTCTGCTAAGGAGGACCCGCCCGACAGCATCATCCGGAAAGACAGCCACAGGTAAGGAGGGGGGTGTGCTGAGCTGCTGCAGCGGAGCTGAGACAGGCCTGCAGCAGAGCTCGGCCTCTGGACGTGTTCTGAGCGGAATGGTAGGTGGTTGGTTTGTCCTCTGCCAGGACACTTTCTTATTTATTTATTTATTTTTATCCTCACCTGAGGACATTTTTCCATTTTTTGTTCAGATAGAGCAGGAGGGAGAGAGAGGGAGAGAGAGAAAAATCGACGTGAAAGGGACACATCGAGTGGCTGCCACCCGCACGACCAACCAGGGCCGGGGACAAACTGCAACTGAGGTACGTGCCCTTAGTGGGAACCGAACCCGGGTCTCTCTAGACCGCAGGCTGATGCTCTAACCTCTGAGCCAAATTGGCCAGGGCACTTTTATTTTTTAATGGAGCTTATTTTGTAATTCATTTTGTTTTTTAGAAGAGGTATGAGAATTGGTTCAGATAAAAAAAGTAGACTCCTCCCGTAATCTATAATACATTTGCCTATCATTTAATAGTTAACTGTATATGTTTTTCCAGTCTTAGAAACGTGTGGCATAGATTAAGATGACCAGGTAATTTGTTACCCAAATTGGGACACTTTCTTGAGAATGAAAGGTAGTGCTGGTAATAATTACGTCAGGATAGCGGGTTCCAATCAGGACTGTCTGGCACCTGAGAAAGGAAGCTCACCCCACAGAGGAGGCATCAGCCAGCACCTGCCTGACTCCAGGAATCCCACTCGCACTGTCCTCAGCTCCAGGGCTTTATTTTCTGAGATTTTACCATTGAGGGTTCCCCAGGAACCTGGGACTCTGGCCACTTCAGGGTGGGGTGGACCTAATTGTTTCCAGATGGACATTGGCTGAGTTTCCCTTTTCCTCCCCTCAGCTCCACCCGGTCTCTTTCCTGGTATTTCTTCTATCAGATTTTTGTTTCTAGTCCAAAGAATATTTTTGGCTAATAGAACAAAGCCAGTCAGCACAGATGTGCAGAAATCATTACTAGACTTTATCACGTGGAAATAAAATTACAAATCAGAAAGGTATTTTCAAAGTGGTTGGGGCTTTTCTGATGGCCAAGGGAGTCTGCGTTTCTGTCAGAGTGCAGACCTGACTCTTGGACTGACGCACCGGGCGCCGTCAGGCAGGTGGGTCGCCTCTGTGTGCATGGGCCTTCCCCATGTGCGTGGGCTGCTTGTTCCGACAACGGCCCCTGGGCGGGAAGAGAGGACCTGGATTGTGTGGCAGGGAAGGTCTGTTTCCTCCAGTCCTTCTTGGCCCTCTTGCGTGGCATTCGTACAAGTCTCTTACCTTAAGTGACTTTTCCACTCTGTCAGATCATTTCTGTCAAGGGGCCAGTGGTTCCAGCATTGCCCCTCAATGGAGACTGGTCTCCATCCTTGACCTTCCCTCTGTGGCCCCTCCTTCCTGCAGACACCTGCTCTGCTGTGTGTTGGGTCACGGCCCTCTCGTGGCACCTGGCCATCCAGGACCTGGGGTTTGGGGCTGTGAACTCCAGTTGCCTTTCTGTCCGTCCGCAGTTCACACACAGGCCAGGGCTGTGTCTGCCCACTCAAGTTTATTTCCCCAGATTGCTGCGTCTCCGCACGCATGCGTGCAGCCCCTTCCGTGGCCGTGGTCTCCATGGTGCAGTACGGGCACATGCGCGGTGGGTCCCAGCCCTGCACACTGCTGCCAGCCACGTCCTGCAGCAGGAGCCCCGAATCCTCCCTTCAGCAGCGCTCTTGACGTCTCCAGTAGTTTCCTTGACTTGGCGCGGTCGGCATCTCCTCTGCTCCCGGCCAGTGCGTCTGCTTGGCCCTCGCCTGCTTGCCCAGCTCCCCTAGCTCTCTCCAGACTGGCCTCCCAGTGCTTTGCCTTGTCGAATCCCCTTTGGTGCAGTGGTGTAGGCCAACCTGAAATGGACCCCTTTGCAGGTTTCCGTCCCGTGCTGAATCCCTGCACAGAGGCGCCTCTCTGGTCCAGCTGTCTGCTGCTGAGGGCCCTTCAGTCCCTCACACTGCCGGTTCTCACTGGCTTCTCTTTATTGATTTTAGAGAGAGAAGGGAGAGGGAGAGAGAAAGAGAAACATGATGAGAGAGAACATCGATTGGCTGCCTCCTGCATGCCCCCCACTGGGGATCGGGCCTATAACCCTGGGCATGTGCCCTGACCCGGAATCGAATCAGTGACCTCTTGTTGCATGGGTTGACGCTCAACCACGAGCCACACCAGCTGGGCATGATGGTTTTCTTACAGCAAAGTTCCTAGGCGTTCAGGCTGCAAGAAGACACTTGTGTGCATGTCTGTTTCAGCTACGACCCTTCTGTCTCCAGTGAGAAAGCCCTGATGGTGCTGAGTGAGGAGCCGGTGCTCTACGTCCCGCCCCCTCCGTGCCCACCACTTGTCAACGCCACGGAGTCCCTCAGGTCAGTGTCGTGGCTGGGCCGGCCTGTCCAGGAGCCTAGGACAGGGTGGTTCTGATGGAGTAGCTGGGAGGTTAACGTTAATGTTAAGTGACCGCAGTTGAGTAGACACAGTCACAGCTGCTCTAGAAAGTGAGGAGGACAAGGGTTTTATCAGACTGAGGCTTTCTAGATTTCTCGTGGGAGAATTGGAAAATTTGGATTCTAGTGCCTTGAAATATCTTTTCTCCCTGAGCACTCGAGTTCATTCTTTTTCTTCTCACAGAGGATTTTTTTTTTTTTTATCCTCACCTGAGGACTTTCTTTTTTTTGCATTTAATCTTGAGATAGAGCAAGAGGGAAAGAGGGAGGAAGAGAGAGAGAGAAACATTGATGTGAAAGAGACACATCGAGTGGCTGCCACCCACACGACCCTAACCGGGGCTGGGGACAAACTGCAACCAAGGTATGTGCCCTTAGCAGGAACTGAACCCGGGTCTCTCTGGTCCGTGGGCTGATGCTCTGACCACTGAGCCAAACCGGCCAGGGCGAGAGGATGGTTTTCCAAGGCAGTGATGCACCACGTTGTCAGGATCCCTGACTGTCCCCACCTTGGGCTCCATGTGGCCCAGGAGCAGGAACCACTTCCTGTGGAAAACCTCTCATCCTGCATTTGTACTCGGCAGGTGTTTGGCTGTGGGTGTCTTTGAATTTCAAGCTCATGACTGAGGAGGCTACCACGTAACAATCACATCTTATTAGAAACAACTGGACTTTAAGTATCTTAGCTCTTTCAAATCAAAAGGCAACATTGCGTGCTCTTTGGAACCCAAGAAATGTGGTTGAATTTATCTTTAACCAGGGTTGAGACAGTCATTTCCGTGTGATGTGCATGATCAATGGAGCTGTTTTACAGGCTGAACCACGAACTCCGAGGGTGGGTTCACAGACACGAGGTGGAAAGGACCAAGTCAAGAAGAATGACGAACACTCAGCAGAAAACCCGTATTCTTCAGGTGTGTTTCTGCTCGTTTTCCAGCATGGCTTTGTTGGAAGTCCCCCCAGCTGGTGGTGGTGTCCCTGGAAGACTCAGGAAGCCTGACCCATAGTCACCCCCGCTTTAGTCAAGACAGAGCTATAAACATGCAGGCCCCTGATGAGGCTTCAGAACACACGCAGCAGACAGTGACAGAGCTAGAGGAAGGCAGACGGGACCGCAGCACTACTGGAGGTCGGTGTGAAGTTCACTTCATGCCACCGTCTGCCTCACATGTTTGCACATTGTGACCTTTTGCTCAGTCCCTGTAGCTGCAAATGCCAAAGCTCATTGCCAGTGTGTCAGGGGTTTCTTTGTTGATTGGTGTAAATCTGAGGAAGGCAAATGGCATAGCGGCTTCTATTGGCCTAATATCTCTGTGAGTCCGTTTTCATGGCCAGTCATGTCTTGAGTCCCGGGACAGCAGTCTTGCTTGTTGGTATGCTGTCTTTAGACACTCAGTCCACAGTGTATCTGGGCATGCGGACGTTTGTGTTTAACTCGGTGAACAATAGGATTTAGCTTTATTAAGGACCTTTCACACTTCAGCAACTTTTCATTGGGAAAATAATAATTTTAGCAAACATAAATCGATATATTTTAATAATATATGTATATGACATGGTCATAAAACTTGTGATACTTGAACTGAGCTTTTGGGCTATTTTTTAAAAAAAAATTATGGGAAGTGTCTTAAATGTCTTAATCTCCATAAGACACATCTCCCAGCCCAGAATGGAACCAGAGGAGCTCTGATCTCTGGGCTGGTGCTGAGCCACGTAACTCCCTACATCAAACTGTCCGTGGGAAACTGAATCCTGTAACGAACGCTCATGTGAATGTGGGATGAGTCCGTGTGGGAAGAGCTCCCTGTCATTTCACTATGTGGCAGTAAGTCTCCTGTTTCTCCAGGGCGCCCTGGAGCAAGGCTCCGGCTCTCAGCTCGTGGCGGTCCAGTACACAGAGACCAGCATCAGGTGAGGGTGCGCGGACGGGCCCCGCCCGGGTTGGAGCGAGTTGGAATCGCTTCACTCTTCACGGGTGTGTTTGTGAACCCAGCTGCTGCTAAAGTGGATTTGTAGCCCCGACCGACACTCGGACCACACTGCTGGGTGGCTGTTCGGGGGCACGTGCGTCGTTCGCAGGGGAGGTTCGCTGAGGCAGCCCTGCTCCTGGTCAGGGTGCTTTCCAGGTGCATCGGTGCTGTGGTCTCCACATTCCTGCACGTTTTTTTCTTTAATTTTTTTTATTTTTTTATTGATTTTAGAGAGAGGAAGGGAGAGGGAGAGAGAGAGAAACTTTGATGAGAGAGGACATCGACTAGCCGCCTCCTGCATGCCCCCACTGGGGATCGGGCCCCCAACCTGGGCATGTGCCCTGACCAGGAATCGAACCGGCGACCACTTGGTGCAGGGTCGACGCTCGGCCACTGAGCCACACCAGCCGGGCTCCTGTGCTTCTCGATGGCGGTTCCATGGTTTCAAGTGGCTGAGCACCGTGCGGGAGCGCTAGTGCCCAGCGCAGGGAGGTGGTGCCTGGGGAGGGCGTGCTGGGCGAGCCGCAGGCAGGCCGGCAGGTCCCCTGAGCCCAGTGTGGTGCTGAGCAGTGACGCTCAGGACAGGAGTCTCCGAGCAGAAACAGACCAGGCTACACATTGATGGGTCATTGAGGACGCTGTGGCCAGGGGCTCGCAGGAACCTGACCCTGCTGTCCCCAGGTCCAGGAGACTGGACGGCTCGCCACCTGCTGGCTCTGTTCCCACAGCACACGAGAGCCCCGGGTCGTGATTGCCGGTATCGTCCATCATCATGGCCGGAAATGGAGAGGAAGGTCTGTGGCTCACTCAGAGCTTCCTTCTAGGCCACTGCTTTCTCCTCTTGGGTTAACAAGGTTGATGGAAACATAAACATTTACTGAAACCATAAAAGAACATATAAGGAAAAGACACGTAAGCTTTACTTCTGGAGAAGTGAGCATGATTTCTCTCCTGTCCTCTCAGCTGCTTCCCGTGCTGCTCGGAGCCTTGTCAGGACGGGCCCCTGCCGCGAGGCCTCGGGCCCGCTGGGTCGGAGCTGTCACTCTCCAGGCCCTGTCCTGCTCTTCGGCGTCTGTGGCCAGCAGCTGAGCAGGGCCTTTGGAACAGGACCCTTCGGTGCTTCATGCGCCAGCCACACCCCTGACCCAGTAGTAGTCGTTTTGTCAGTGAGGAGACCAGGGTTGCTCAGAGGTAGATCCCCGAGGACACCCTGAGGAGGAGGGCAGAAGGCTAAGCCAGGCCTGTTCACCCTAAGCCCTTTCCACCCTCCGTAGCCTGAGAGGTGAGACCTGCACGGGCCCCACAAGGGGATAGTGCTGTCCTCAGACACAGGCCCGACAGGGGGCAGTGCTGTCCTCAGAATCCATTCTTGTCACCAGATGGTTGGTGTCACGCAGACCAGGGCCGAGATCTGCTTTCTGACATCTGTCATCTTCACATGCTCCCAACGGGCTTGACTACCTGGAACGTGTAGTCTCGATTCAGAGACGAGTTTTAGCTTCATTGAGTTGGATCTCACACACCTCCGACCTTGGGCTCTTCAGAATGTTACAGAAAACTGCCGAATGCCGCTTGTGTGTGGTTGAGATGCTCACAGGCAGACGTGGGCCGAGACGGGAGTAGTTCTGAGGGGTGTGGCGTTCTGTGGTGTGAGAACACCCCCTCTTTCTCGGCAGGAACCCAGGGAGCGAGCTCCAGGTGTATTACGCGCCCCCCAGAGGTTACCAAGCCTTCTTTGATGCCATCCGCAGAAGGGGAGACACATTTTACGTTGTGTCATTTCGAAGGGTAAGTGCATTTTGAAAGGATAAAGGGCGCGTTTGTGGGGACCTGCTCTGTACGAAGCGCTGGGCTGCGTGCTGGGACACAAGACAGTATGGAAAGGGAGCTGTGGGGTGAGCGGAGCCGTCTCTGCCATGGCCCCTGGCGGACCCACTGCAGCCGGTGGAGGTGAGCACGGGCCGTGCCAGGCAGGGACGTTGTCTCGAGGGAGCGTGAACTCCTCACTGGTGTCTTGTCACCCGGTAGCCGCGCTGTTGGTCAGAACCACAGGGGAAGTGAAAACATAAAGGCTCCTGTTTAGCTTGTGGGATTGCCGTCTACTGACGGGAAGTCGACATCCCGCAGGTAGGTTCCGGATGGGCTGTGGCCTGGTGAGTGCTTGGGCTGGTCAGGCCTGGGTCCTGAGATTCTCTCCTCTGTCCCTCAGCAGACACTCACCCCTGCTGGGGAAGGACATGTTAGATGCCAGTCAGGTCATGCCGAAGTCAGTGTTTATAGGAGCATCTCTGAGTGTTACACAGTAAGACTAAAAGGAAAACATACATTGCTGTTTATTTGATCTGTTCTTCCTATAAAATGAAAATACATTCTTCATGGAGTTGCTGTACGATACCTCTGTGCTGTATGTTAAACCAGGAGCAAATGAATGAGGTAGAATTGGTAGTTTGTTTCCTACTTTTTTCTTTTCTTTTAAAGAACGTGGAGGGTATGGCTCTAAATAAGCATATTCCAACAGCAGAGGAAAAGTGCATTTCCACTCACTGTGACCACTGGAGCTCCCGGGGGCTCCGACCCTTCCTGCGGTGTGAGTACCCAGGAGCGCCGAGCCGCGGCACCAGAGACCTGACCCTTGAAGGCGAGGAAGTCAGGCGTTTCTTTCACGTGTTTCTGGCTGTCAGCCACATGTGCGGAGCCGTCTGGAACCTCGAGCGGTGGCAAGGTTTCCGCCGCAGCCTCAGCCCGGGCGGCTCCGGCAGGGGCAGCTGAGAGCGGCTTCTGGGTCTCGGCAGCAACTGCTTCTGATGAGGACCCGCGTTCTGCTTCAGCGTCCACGGGGTTCTGTCCAGAGTGGACGGACAGCCGACTCAGAAGTGGGGTCCAGCACCGTGAGGAGACCGACGGCTGTTAGGATGGGTGTGTTGAAGTGCATGTTACGGAATATGCCTCAGAAGGGTGTTTCTGACGCTCCGATAGCCGAATGCTTAGTCCAGGGTGATTTCTCGGCCATGTCATCAAAACAGGAAAGTGTGTCAGAGGCAGGGCCGTGCCTGGGCCGGGCCAGGGAGGAGAACACTCTGTCAGGGAGAAGCCCTCCTGCCTCACGAGGGGGCGGTGCTCTCCCTCAGCTCAGGCCCGCAGGCCTCCTGTGGCCGAGCCCTTGCCCCACTCTGCTGTGTGCGGTCCTGGTGGGGGCGTCAGCCCTCTTAGCCGCCGTGTTCCGGGGGACCCTCCTTTCTCCTCGGGGACGCTCGTCTGCTCGGGTGCTCCATCTCCTGCTGACTGCGGTCACGTTTCGCGTTAGGGAAAAGTAAGGACCCTGAGCCTCATAGACAGTCATTAGGGACAACATCCTTTCTTCTCTCTTGGTTTGTTTTCACAGTGGGATACGGAGCTAATTTCACCACGATGACCATAAACCATGTCATGGGAAAGGAATTTGGTTCTTAGACCCTGGGTGGTTTCTTCTGTTCTTGCTAAATGAAAATGAGAGTAGTGATGCTTCCTGACTCTTCGGCGTTGATTGTTACATGTGATGACCCACTGTCCAGGCACGCAGCCCTCACCCCTCGTCCCACACCTCGTCCCGTCACAGTGGACCTGCCGAGCGAGTTCCCAGAGCAGACCTCACTTGGGAGAGGGTGCTCCCTCCCTGCAGCTCGCGTCCCCTGGGCCTGCAGAGCTGACCCTGCTCTTCCCCTGGGCCCCCCTGGAAGTCTCACCCACACAGGGCCCTCCCTGCTCTGTGCAGTCCAGGAGGTCACACCTTATCTCCCTCCCGTCCTAGCGTCTCCTCTTCTCTTCTCTGGGACTGTTTTCCTGTGATCTGGGCAGGGTGGTAGAAAGTAACTTTTTCCTGAGTCACGTGGAGTTGGCGTGACTGATACATTAATAAGAAAACATCCAGTCAAGTTTAATGACTTTTTTCCTTAATGCTTTCATAGGATAGTGTATTTAGGGAGGGAGGGCTGGGTTCTGGAGCGCAGGACGGATACCTCCCGAGGGATGCAGCTCGGGTGGAGCGGGGCAGGCGACCGCAGAGGGTGAGACGGCCTGGGAGGAGGCGGGAGAGCGCATCCACTCTGTGAGGACCTCGCGAACACCCACTGCTGTCGGCCCGCGGGAGCTGGGAGGGGCTGTGTCCCTGCCCGTTCGCAGCAGGAGCAGGTTCTCCTGGGCCCCGCGCTTCCGATCCTTTCAGGGAACACTTTCAGGGAACACTTTTTACCTCTTCTGTGACCTTCGTCCCAGTGCTGTCCTCAGGTGAAACGCAGACACTGAAGACTCTTTCCTGTTCGACACGACAGTGTCACACCCAGGAGAGCCCGAGCCACAGCTCTGCCCCCCAGGCTGTCCCCTCCTGTCTTCTAGGGGAAAGTGCCTGTTTGGGTGCCGTGCCCCTTCTTGGTCTCATGAGTTCACAGCCGTGCCGTAGGTGTGGACTTGGCCGGGTCGCATTGTGACGGAAGAGGCGCAGGAAGTGCCGCTCTGTCTCCTGCTTCGTGATTGCATGTGCCCTGGGCCTTGCAGCCCCATCTGGTCACTCCTGGCCAGCAGCCCTGGAAGTGCACCTCTGTGTCTCCGCACGTGGCTCCTCAGGCTGCACACAGCAGGAGCCTGGTGTGCAGAAGGCTGTGGGGTCGGCGGCCCTGCATCGGACCCGGAAAGGGCTGCGGCAGTGGGCGGCCCTGCCTGTGCGCAGGCCTCTCCTCTGGGGAGTGAGTGAGCCTCAGGGCTCCCTGGGGTGCTGGGCTCTGCAGCTTGGCTTTTCGAGAGCAGCGTCTCGTGCTGTCCCGATTGTTCTCATTGAGGTCCCAAGCCTCTTAAAAGCAGGAAGTATCATGTGACTTTTTATTACCACCCTTGACACTGAGCCCAGCACCAGCTCCCCAGGACGGCTCTGGGTGAGAAGTCACAGCAATGGCAGCTCCATGTCTTTCATCATCTAAAGGGTGTTTTTACATTTGTTCTGTCTGAAGAAATTCGAACCTGTTTCCTGGTCCAAGCAGTAGCCCAAGCCATGCTGATTCCCGTGGGAAGTTTCATCAGAGGTGGCTGCCCAGCCTCAGCCTCGGACATCGCTGGGTGACGCGTGCGTCAGCTCCCGTAGCACGAGGCTGGCAGCACAGGGTTTGATGCTCAGCACGAGCATTTGGCACGGACCGTGGTCGGACCACACTGCTCTCCGTTTCGGAGAAGGGATGGTGTCTCGTGTCTGTGTGGATTCAGGCAGCAGGAGCCACTTGAAGCTCCGGATGAAGTGCAGGAAAGGCGCTGCCTGGTGCTGGAAGGTTGGCAGTAACGTTCTTGGTGCAGAAGTCCATCTCTCTGCACGGCCACGGGGAGAGTGCCACCGGCGGGCAGTGATGTTTCCGCAGGTCACGCCTGGAGCAGGATCTGACACGTGCCTGGAAGAAGGGGGTGTTTCCGTAATGCACGTTATTTATTCCTTGGAGATTTCTGTTTAGTATATATACTTTTACAAAAAAACCTGCAGGGGCAAAAGGGATTTCCTTGGTCTCCTCCGAAAGGGACACAGATCCTCTTGTTTCGGGGCTTCACAGCTTGGGTCTGGAGTTTGCCATTTCCTGTCTGCGCTGTTACGGTCTCTCAGCCAAGTTCTTTCTCCAGCTGGCGAGGAACTGAGTGCGGGAGTTTGGAAAGATACTCTTATCTAAGAAGAGCGACGTTTTAAACAATCTTTAGAAGGCATTTTTTTCTAATTAATTTTTTGATATATATTTTAATATTGTCTCTCATTTTTCAATTTTGCTTATGAAACGACCCATTTTACTTAAATTTACCAACTGCAGGTATTGTGATAAAACGACTTCCCAGCTTGATAGGTAACAAAATGCTACCAAACAACTACTTTGATTTATACTTCTTTTCTAACTTGTGAGTTTGAATATTTTCATTTATTATATAAATTTTATTGATTTAATTGGGGTGACATTGGTTAATAGAGTTATACGGGTTTCAGGGGTACAGTTCTATAATACCTCATCTGTGCATTGTATTGTATGCTCACCACCCCCAAGAAGTCTCCTTCCCTCACCGTTTATCCCCCTTCCCCTCCTCTTCCCCACCCCCTTTCCCTCTGAGCACCACACCATCATCTGTCTATGGGGCATTTTTGTTTGTTTGTTTTTTGCTTAACCCCATCACCTATTTCACCCAGCCCCCCGACCCCCTTCCCTCTGACAGCTGTTAATTAATTTTTTCTAAAATATGTTTTTATTGATTTTTAGAGAAGAAGGGAGAGAGAGAAAATCGATGCTGCCTCCTGCACGCCCCCTGCTGGGGGTCGAGCCTGCAACCCCAGTGTCTGCCCTGACTGGGAATCCAACCCGGTGCATGAGTCATGGGTCAAGATCAACCAACCCAGCCACATCCACCAGGCTGCTAATTAATTTTTAACTTACTTGGAAGTACACTGTCATTCAGATCGAAAGCACATTACAGAAAACAGAGCAGAGTTGTCTGAGTACCCACTGCGACCTCACCCACTGCATCAGTGACGTCCGCTGTGTCCCTTTGCTGTCTGCTTTCAGTTCATTCGAATCCTTCAGTGCAGGGCCCAGTGCAGTTCACAGACCTTTCACCTCCACCATCTTGTTAGTTCCTTACATGCACTGAAGAGTATTCCCAGTCCTGTTCACGGGAAGAGGGGCACAGGGACATGAAGAGGCTGGTTGAGGTCACACAGGGTGAACGCAGACTGGGCTGTCCGGTGACCTGCACCACTGTGACTGCCAGGGGACTTCTTCCCGTCCTGGTGGTGTGCT